CATCGGAGGAGACGCAAATGCTTTGGGAATCGAAGGAACATCACATATCGTCACAAGCATGGGAACCAAACCATTCATAAATGTATGTTGCTGTTGGTTGGTTGGTTGCCAGTTTATAGTTATTTTATAAATGAATCGCCGTGTCTCATTTGTATATAATGTCTTCGATTTATATTTTTATTATTTAAGAAACGATTCTAGATGTCTTTGTAAAATTTTGTAGATACAATGTATATACATAATGCATTGCTGCCTTTTCCGCATTTGTGGAATTGACAGAAATTTTGCTTAAATTATCATAACGAAACCATAAAAAATATTGCTTAGTGTATCTTATATGTATGTATAACCAAAAATAGTGAAATCTGACAAGAAAAACCCAACAACAAGAAAAACCAAACAACTTTCAAGCAGGAATGACTAAATTCAACCATCAAAAGTAAATATTCATTTAAAAAAATATCTGGACGAAAATAAAAAAAAAGTGTTATGCACCTGAAAATAACTCTTGATGTGCCAGAATGCATTTACCAAATTTCCTGGTTTCGGATAATATTAAAAAAAAAAATTTTCTCTGAGGACTTTACCACTCTGTATTCCAAAAGTTGAAACTTTTCGGACATACGTTGTTAGTCATTTTCTTAAAATCAGAACAAAATAATGGAAAACAAGAAGTTATAATAAAGTTACACTTTAGGTAGAAAAATTCGGAGTTAGTCCGGTATCTCAAGTCCAAATACAATTATTGATACCTCATTATATTAAAAGAGTCCAAAAGTTCGAAACATTCACAAAGCTCACCAAATTTAAAGGAAAATTAAATCAGGAATCAATCCTGTGTTCGAATAATATGAGTGGAAAAAACAATGCAGCATCGACAGAATCCGTAGTTAAGGCGGCGGATATTGAGATTAATGACGAAACTTCTATTACCGAAAATTCCACATTTCATTTATCCTGCGCCAACGAAAACATTGCCTGCGTTGTTTTAAATTGCACAGCCGGACCATTTAAACAGGAAAATAGGGTTGCAGAATTTTTTGTCGAAATTAATTTGGATATTCAACATCTCCAAGGTAAGATTAGTTATTTAAAGACGATATACGGCGTGGGCTACTTTAGTGAGGCATCTGTTAGGATCTCAGAAATTTTGAATAATAGAAACATGGGTAACAGAACAGTTGGGGAAAGAAAAGGTTATCTATACAGCCATTGATTTTTTTTTTCAAATCTGTAAAAATATTTTTAAAGTCATAAGCTTTCCATGTTGACGTTTTCCAGTTCTTCATTGTCAATTACTTTTTTTTGGGCTTCATCTTGCAGTTTCGCAATTCCAAACTAAGCATTTTTGTAATGTATAACTATTAAATCTTACAGAAGTTGATATAATATATTAGACTCTGGACCATCTTCGTAATATTTTGTTGTAGTAAGTTCAAGTTTATTATTAAATTTCCGGACACACTATAATTTTTTCTTTAAACTTTTTTTCTTTAAGTTCACGCGCACCTAATTAGGTTAGCATGGACATGATAAAGTCAATGTAATTCCGATATTTTTTTTAAATGTTGAAGCTATTTTAAACATCTTGTTTATCCAGTATAGTGGCTTAGCGAATTTTTATATATGTGGGCGTAACTTTGTTGTGATTAAATATTTTTACAAAAGTTTAATATTTGGTACACTAGCCATTTTTGACTACAAAAAATATCGTAGTATATCCTGGAAATTCTACATGTCATTTTGAAAACTGTTTTATGGAAATTCAAAAATAAAATATCTATTTAAAAAAAAAGATTTTTCACCATATTACATTTCGGTAAAAATGCACTCCCCAAGAAAAAAATATCAGTTATAGCACGCTTAAATTAGGTTATACAAGGTGTACTAAATTAAATGCCAATTTGTTAGAAAGATAAATATGGTAAAAATTTAAACAGGAGTTGAAAAAAATGTGTTTTCTGAATTATTCGGAAATGACATATTCAATTGTTTTTGTGCATTCACCACCTAATTACAATGAAAAATAATACTACTTTGCAAATTTCACTGACTAATAATTAAAAACATGGCAATAGTGTGTACTTAATTTAGTACACCTGGCATATAAACGTTAAACTTTGTGTAGTGATTCTTTCAAAAAATATCTATATTTCTTTAAAAACGTAGCAGATAAATTATATAGATACTTTTTACAAAGCTTCTGGATTCCTCCTACGTCGGTTTTTGCTGAGTCGAAATTGCTGACGTTTCGCCAATCTCCTGTTGGCTTCTTCAGAGCTTGACTGAAACTGAAACTGCAAACACCAACGCAGGAAGAATCCTGAAGCTTTGTAAAAAGTATTACAGTAGCCTGTGGAAGTTTCTTTGAAAAATTAATTATATAGATATTAACAAAAGTTACTTAAGACTTTGCACTTTGGAAATCCAAATCTGTAGGCGTATCCATCTAACAATAGTATATGTAAATATTCGCGAAATTATTTTTCAAAGTAGATTAAGCACCTACTTTCGCGTAATTTGAAAAGGTTCGTCCCTTCTTAAGTTTTGATAGGCCACTAACTTAAAATGTTTCAGATGTTACTAGGGATAAGAACTTTATACTTTTTATGACTAGCGCCCATATCTTAGTAGAGAATTTAGGAGACCAAAAGTTAAGGTAGGTGGTTAATAAAAGATATCTTCGTATCAGTTTACTTTAATTTTATGTTTTTAGAAAAAAGATGGCAACAATTGCGAATTTGCTTGTAATACACAGAAGTCGCAAAGTAGCTATGTGGATTTTAATTCTTTCTGCTATTTCGGGATTTATTTTACTCATTCTGTTTACATGCTGTTTATACAAGGTACCTACAAATTTGGAATAGGGCTAAGAAAATTAAGTAATTGGTTTTTCAGACCGGATTTTTTAAAAGGACGAACCATATCAAACTAGAACTTCTTAAACAACAAGTAAGTAAAACTGTTTATTGGTAATTATCCAAAATACTAGTAATTATATACAACTAACTGAATCTGTCTGTAGGTGTTTCAATACTTTGTAACAGAACTTATAAATCGAAAAAAAAAATCCGGAAACAATACAAGTTTTTTAAAATGTATTTACTTATTTCCTACAGTACCATAAAACAATATTTTTACACGTATCCAGCCAGACAAATTTAAGATCTATTTTTAAGCAATGCGGCATTCAACAACCAACATGCCCGCTGTCAAAACATCAATAAATGCAAATATGAATTAGGCCCGTCAATTTTTACCTATATGCTATTAAATAATTAAATCTAGTACCATAAAAAGTGATGCGCCTTGATATTTTTGTAAATTTCACCGACTAACTTGCACCTTGCACCATTTTCTTTCTAAACAGTGATCTCCAAACACTTTACTCGTTTTTTTCAGAATATTTAATGAGATCTGGGTATAATTGACCGTCAGCGGCCATGTTGGTTGTTCAATGCTGCTTGGTTTTAATGGTTGAAAAAAAGATTTTAAATATCATGCGACATTGCGATTAATTGTACTTTTCAGAGCTTGACTGAAACTGACTCGTATTTTACTTTGTACCTGCTTATATATTGTTTAAGGAGGGCGGAGCTAAATGAGTCTCGGATAACTGATTGCCTTATTGGTGACAGGTAGAGACCTGAGTCGCGGTTAAGATTGTTAGGTTGTTTATAGATTTCTATAGACTCTTGGATTTTTCGTAGGTAGAAGAACTGATTACATGCAAAAATTGTAGTTTTATCGAATAAAATTTTATGTCCGGTTTCATAAATGTGTTCGGCAACAGCTGATGAGTTTATTTGTCTTAGTCGTAATTTTCGTGTTCTTTGAGTCTAGTTGATATTTTTCGTCCGGTCTCTCCAATGTATTCTTTGCCGCATATGCATAGAGTGCTGAAAACTCCTGGCATCTCAAGTGTTATTTTGTCTTTGACGGACCGAAGATGAGAGATTTTTGGACAAGTGGTAAATCTGGTTTTGACGTTATACTTCTTTAGAACTTTTGATATGTGGTCAGTGATATTTTGAATGTAAGGACCACAGTGGTAAGCGTAGGATTGCTTTCGGCCTCATAGCTATTGGAAGGCTGCGGTGAAGTGTATTTTTTGATGGAACACTTAATATCTTTAATGTGGAAATTATTAGAGAGAAGAGCGGAGGTAAGGTGTTTTAATTCAGTGACTCGGGCTGAGATAGTTTTGCGGCTTTGTAAACAAGAAAGTTGATAACCGAAGATTTTTGGGCCGGATGGTGATGTGACCATGCATTAAGGTATCGGTCTATATGCGTAGGTTTTCTGTAAATACAATGACCCAATGTTAGGCCTGATTTTCTATTGATAGGAATATCTACTACTACTATCTATCCGTCTATCTATTAGCCGCCTGTGGAAGTTTGTTTGAAAAAATATGTCTTAATTAAGAAATAGTGAATCATATTATTGTCGTCGGCACTTAATTGTCTATATCTTCAATTGTTCATTATAACTTTTGTAAAATTTTGCAACTGAAAGGACGCTTTAAATTTCCTACTTCTTTGACTATACTTATGCCTCAACTTACACTTATTTGGCATTTGGAATTAACCTCATCACTATCATTTATTAATTCTAAAAATTTCTAAAGAGACCATAAATAAATGTTACCAGTAGTTGATGTTTTCAGAAAAATTAGGTCATATTGGCCTTATACATTTCCAATTAACTTAAAAGTATATTTGGAGAATATTTTATACCCACTTGAGTTATACTTTTTCATCTCAACTCATGGAATGTGTTTTGGTTATATATAACAATAGCCAGATTAAATTGGACACCCGATTTGGGTATACTTACATGTATTTTTTACTTTTCTTAATTTAGGCAAAGGAAGTTGACAAGTTCATAGCTGATGCCGATCAACCGGATTTAGAATTCTGTCTTCTAGATTCTGTAGGTAATTCTGAAGAGGATATAACGGAAAAAGTACACAAGAGCTAAATAATTTTGAAATCGTATTTTTAATTATTCATATGAACTTTATGCTTAATAACAATGTATTTATTAGAAATAAAGTTTGCTCAGTATAAAAAATTAATTTTATTAAATCACATAATTATCGTTGTAGTTTTCTCTTAATTCAAAAATGCTATCTAAACAATCTTCAAACTCATCTCTTTCGACCTCAAACCCATGAAACTTTGCAATTTTTATTCTTCTCGCCGAGCTATGCAGCGATTCTAACATATCACCAATTTCCGATCCTGAGTATAAACCGGCAAGAACGGGTACTGAATCCACCTCTAAAAGAAAAATGCATGTACCTACAATCAATGCAAGAAAAAATATTTTCCTAAACTAATAAATACTTGTTAATGTGTCTTTAGACCATCGAATTTTGTAATTGATTTTTTCCACTTCCTTCTGTAATAGTATATTATGGAACAAGTGTAGTGTAGTAAACGTTAGGTTTTTGGGTGAATTTTTGCAAAACAACACGAATACAATCCCTGACATGAACGTCAAAATTCAAAGCGTGGGAAATATCTCCGAAAACATCCATTACTCGCAAATCCGTGAGGTAATATCCAGGATATGTCCGAAGGGGCTCAGATCCGTGGGACAAGTAACTCACGTGGTAAAGTGACGCTTCCCGCACGCTAGATGGGTGCATAATTGGGTATTTTACAGAAGAGAATAGAAAAAATACCTAATTATACACCGATCTTGTCCCACGGATCCGAGCTACTTCGGATTTTACCGCACGGGATTGCGATCAATCGCAAGTTTTCCGAGATTTTACCGCACGGCTTGAATTTTGACGTTGACAGTGACGTCAGTGAATGTATTCGTGCTGTTTTGCTAAAATGTAGCCAAAAACTAACGATCGTAGAAAAAGTATAGTATTTAACACGTTACTTAAATGTTCAAAATTCGGGAGAGCGCTTTTAAAAACATTTATTACACAGAAAGCGAAATAAAGTTTTATTCGAACTGGCCGATACAAAGGCTGGAATAATTAATAGCCTTTTTATAATATTACAATCGAATAAATAGGGATTTCGATGCGGTGTCAGCGATGCGTTATTTTCGCTTAGCTTTGGGCTTCGTCTGCAGTTTGGGACATATAACTCGTTTGGTAAACTTTTTAAGTCGCTCGTTTATTAAACGTTTACCACCCTTGTTGCATAATATACTACTCTATTCCAATTAGAAAATTATTTGGATCTTTTCACGCTATTAGATTTTACCTTAAATTACATTGATTGATTGTATTGTTGAAGTGGATGATAAATGTAAAAAAAATATTCAGATTTTACAGGTAACTATCCGCATTATCTTGATGTACCTTTACACAAGTGCTGTATTTTGTTGTTTTAAAATGCCACATACTTTGAAAACAAGCTCTTCAAGGGCAGTGGTGCTTATTCGGGTTAAAGTTTTTGAAACTAACCTAATCTAAATTTGCAATTATGTCCTGGTTATCACGTCGCAGGAGTCAATTTCTGCTCTGCGCTTTTTAAAATTATTTGTCATTTTGTCACCTTTCCTAATTTCACAACGCACTAACAGAAGTAATAAATTTAGCAGGGAACAACGATAGTGTTAATTACATATATTTCGTTCATAATTTATTTTCCGTTAATTATTGTGAATGAAGTTATTTTTTTGAGGCTTTTTTGGGATTAAGGTTATGCAAAATGACTCGACTATCACGTCAAACACATAATCTGAATTTCAATTTGACAACTGCAAAATATTGTTTAAGTTGATATCCTGTAAAGGAAAATTAGACAATGCAACACATCTTTACATTTGTCAATTTGGGAAGTATTTTTTTCTTCCTATTCCAGAATATCCAATTATACACGGAAAAAGCATGTCTATATTTCCAGTATCCCAGTATTTTGTCAGTCGTTTGTCAATCCTGACAGTCACATCACACATAATCGTGATGTTTTACGTGAATGAGCCCAACAACTAATAGTCTTAGAAAAAATGTAGTATGCAACAGGCGCCAAAACAAATCAGTGAATGAAATGGCGTTTATTCAACTTGTTGCATAATATACTATTACCCATGATCCACAATGTAAATTAAACCCCTGGGTGGTGCTGCGTAACTCGCCCTTAACAATAATCAAACATAAAAATTGAATTAAAATGGAATATTAATGCACAGCCCTTTAAAAAAAAAAAAGATGGATGTAAACACACAAACAAAATTTTTATCAATTAAGGTGATATTAGGTTGAAAAATCCAAAAGATATAAAAAAAAAATTAAATAAAAATTAAATAATTTATATTATATTATATTATTACTTACTTATATGTTGAGGCCTTGGGGCACTTATAATGTTCCCATTATAGCCAATATGTTCATCAAATAGTTCCGGAAATGGTGTTCTGACTAACATAGGCTTCTGCACTGTTGTAACATTGGAAGCGGAATCATGAGTTGTGCAAGACAAATAATATTCTAACATTTCTTTAATTGAATTACATTTATATGCAGGCAAATGTTGTTGTTTGTTTGCCTCATGCGCCATTTTCTTAAGTCGGTTTTCAGGTACACCCCGTAAAGTTAGATATTGCATTAACTTGTCAGTTCCTAAAATAAATAGGTAAATTTTGCTACACTAGATTAGAAATAGAAATGATGATTACGTAGCTCACATCTGGGAGTTATGCTTTGGACCAACTGCCCTTCCCAGTTATCTAAACACTCCAGAAAATCTGAATCTATGTTTAAAGAAAAAGGAAAGCATAAACTGGCAGCTGACACTTTTCGCCCATATCTAGTTAAATCAGAACACATATCCATCAAGGAAGAATTTCTTGACTTTTGACGATATTTTAATGTAACTGTGTCCAAAGCAGATGCTAATATGGCACTCGTGTGATATAAAAGGTTTGCCTAAAATAAATATATCATGTTTCCAGAATCCAGATCACATTACCTAAACACAATAGACAGACATTTTTATTTCATCCATATACAATGGTGACTAGTACTAAATAAAATTAAAAAAAAAAGCAAAAAATTTGTGCAGAAGTATTCTTTTCAATGTTTTCTGTAGGCACTGTACATACTTACATTATATTGTGTGTGATAAAATCGTCTTGGAGCACCAGGTTTTGGCCAACCATCTCTGCTAGTACAAAGCGGAACAAACATTGAACTATATTTCCTGTACTCATTAAAAGAAAAAGTTAAATTAAGTAATCGTAACACATCATTCTGAGAAGATTGCATTTTTGCTTCATTAGTTTCAGTAGTCTCTTCTTCATAATGTGATGGAATGACAGGAAATACTAACACTGATTTTCTCTCATACTCATCTTTCACATACTCCAGACAGGCAGATGAAAGACCAGAAAAGGCATTTGTACAATCTGTAATCATATGAAATCCCTATATATAGGGATAATAATAATAATAATAAACAGAGTTTTAAACAAATAAATCACTTAGGGAAGAGACAAAAGCTATTACCTGCAAGTGGTCACACTCCTCAACAAATTTTCTAATACTGTCAGCAAAGTCAACAAACTTATCAGTTTTCCAAAGAGAATTACCTAATGAAAATATATCAAAGGGTACATTTTCATTATTATGTTGGTATTGATTTATAACATTAACAGTGGCTGGATGGAATCTACTATACAAGAAGTCAGACCAAACATTTATTGAATCATCTAATTTGCATCTTTTAGTTAAATTATCTGAAGAAGAACCAGTAGAGAGATGTTCTTGAAATTCATTTTTTGGAAATGCTTTTTCATGTTTTATATCAACTGCATCCCAATGAATTGAACGTTTAACTTGCTCTGGGTCAGCTTGGGAGTTATACAACTCTCCTTCGAGAGGCAAATTATTAAGGCTGCCTTTTAAATCAACTAACAAAAGTCTGGGTGCATATGTTACCTGACCCTACAGAAAGTAAAATAAATACGTCATGAATGCAAAAAAATATATACCTTGTCACTACCTTGTCTGTAACTCCCTCTCGGTACAAAACGTCGTGATCTATTTCTGGTACTACGTCCCCATTGTAGTCGAATCCAAATTCTTGAATATTCCACCAATGTGAGCCAATAAAATTAGAATAGTGCCCAAATTGCAAGGTTAAGATTTCTTTAGATACCATATTTTTTAATATGGTTTGCAATTTGCATATGTCATAATTTTCTACACTACAGCCCACTACCACAGCCTAAACTTTTTGTATAAAATTTCTACTATCTAAAACTATAAAAAAATTCTACGTGACTTTAATTTTTAATGTTTTTAATTGATTATTTTGCCCGGATAACAATTTAAAAAAACATATTTTTCATATCGTAAAGGTGCGTTCAGACTTGGAAAATAGTCTAACCAAAAAATGTTTGCGCGTTTAGGTTTGGGCCTGGCATGCAATTCCACAGCTCAATAATTCCTACTTTAAAATTTATTTTTGTTGTTAACCAGTTATGTTCGCTCCAAGAATTTGTTGCAAGCGCCTATTTGCTTGTTAAGGCGTGTACACAACGAATGTAGAATGAGGTGTTACCAAATTTCTTAGGAAAATTGAAAATATAATTATTTATGAAGTAGTAGTACGCAACCAATGTTTGCTGACTAGTTGACTTCTACAAAAATTTAAAAATAATCAGTATTATCAATGAACATATCTGTTTTGCAATTACGGGATCACAGTATATGTAACAATTTAGCCTTATAGAAATTTTTTAAAACAAAATGGCTTCTCAAGGTAGTAGAGGCGAAACAATACAAAAGCAAATACAGCAAGATTGGGTTAATAGAGAATACATCGAAATAATCACAATAAGCATAAAAAAAATTACTGATTTTCTGAATTCATTCGGTAATTGGTAATGTTTGCGTATCTTACATTAACCTTAAAGAAGTATTTTTTAGATCTTTCCTGTCGTTCAAAATTGGCAGGTTTAAATGAAAAATTGACGATTTTAGAAAGAAAAATTGATTACTTGGAGGCTTGCGTAAGTTTGATGTATTATCGCATCCTTAGTTTTTATTTTCTGTTTGCAGGTTACAAAAGGAGAAACACTAACGTGAATATATTAAAACAAATGTACATAGCTAGTTCCTTCTAATAGAAATCACTACTTAACTCACATGTCGTATGCATTGCAAATTTGTAAAAACTTTTGTAAAACTAAAACCATTTATGTTCCAAGAAGATCACTTTTCAAATGGGTGTATCTACAGTTTAATGCTTTAGATGAAGATCGTAGAAAAAAATTGGGTGCTGACCGTACTTGTGCTGAGTGGATCTTGAGGAACGGTGGCAAAGTAAAGTTTGTCAACAGGGATGAAGAAGAAGCAGATTATAATAATCTTCCGGAGGAAGATGTTCAGGTTCGTTTGCAAGAAATTAATGCCAGTGGTACTAGCATTATGGCTGAAGGATTTATACATCTTGAGGGTTGTAAATCTATTGACAAATTAATTTTACATGAGTGTCAATATTTGGAGGATAACGCACTAAACGAATTAAATTTTATTTCAAATTCGCTACTATTCCTGCAAGTTTCCAGGTGCCCAAATATTTCTGATAACGGACTTTTATATTTAACTCATCTCAAGAATTTAAGGCATTTAATCATTTTTGGTTTAACTTATGTTAGAGACAAACCAAAAGTATTAAAAACATTACAAGATGAATTAAAACAGTGTCAAATAAAATTTGATTAAATTATTTTAAAAATATTTGTTTAATCCTTTGAAAGAATTGATATTCTGAATGCTTCTTAGAAAATTTTTATTTTGTATTAAATAAACATGCTTTGTAAAGGGGTGTGTATTATTTCCAAAAAATATTTAATGATGTTTTTAAGTTTTATTTAATATTGTTTTTCATTCACATAAAGGATAATTAGAATATAAAAATGCTTCTAATTAAATATATCTATATAAACTCTTTTCCTCTTCCTATGTGTTGTAACCATAGTGGCAGCTTCTATTGGCGCATTAGATTGTACAAGCCACGAATTCAGTTTGACTTGTGAATTATAGCCACATAAAAACAGCTTCCTCTCTAATGAATCCAAGCGTTGTTGAACTATGGGATCAGATTTTGAATTGTGGGCTAAATCCAATATTAGTCTAAATCTTGTAATAAATGTCTAAAATTACATCAGAAAACAGTTAAGTCTATAGCGAAATATAAAACCATAGATATGTTATACATTACGCTATAAAAAACATAAAAACAAAATACCCTACATGTAGTAAAATATTGTGCACTTCTTCTCTCCGATCCATGTGTTTTATGTAGGAGCCCAACTCATAAAAATATAGATTAAATTTGTGCAAATCGACCGCAGAAGCATCTGCTTTCAGAATTTCCCTATAAGCTTCTTTAAATATTTTTGGTAATTCTGGAATCACAACAGGCTGACGTGTAGCAGATATATCTAATGCCAACCACAGAGGCAATTCTAATTCTGTACCAATTGCTAAGTTTTTTTCTTCAACTGAGGGGTTCAGCTTGCCTACAAAAATTGTAACGTTTTAAAACTCTTGGTGTTCAAAAACATTTAACTTGCCCATCCTGGGAACTTGTTGAATAAATTTGCAGAGAACCCGTTCCTGAGTAGCAAGAATATCGTCAATTGAATAGTAATCTGGATGATAACTTGTTAACATATTTGATGAATATTTAACCATAATAAAAACAACATTCATATACAAAATTGTACATAAACAGAGAAAACTTCTTCCTTCTTAAAAAAATTGGCAACTTGCCAGAGTCAGAGGAAGCCATATTTTGCTATCGGTTAAAAACTTTTGATTAGTGTTCCAATTGTCGCTTCTGTTCCCTTCGGAGAGTGATGCATTCGTCCAGTTCCTTTTAATTAAGGCACTCTGCAAGTTAAAAAGAAAATGTTGAGCTCTATTCGTAAGTGGCCGAGTGATATAGCAGTTGTGGCCAATAGAAATGACGAACAGATAGAGAATACCCTGCAGAACTAACCTTAGCATTCTGTGTGACCGGCTCCTTACTACAGATTATCAGAATAACAATAATAATTATGGAATTAAATTCGGATTTAGTAGGAGTACAAGGAATTTTATATAGTTGTTTAAAAAGAGTTGGCGATTTTACTAAAATCAACTGCAAAAACGGTAGCCAATGTAATTATTTTACTTTGACTTTGGTTCCTAACTATCATTTACTTATAGGTAAGGAAGAGAAAATACTTCTTGTTGTAAGCGAGTTAGGAAAATTTTTGTGTAATAAAAACTATTTGTGTGACGGAAATGTTGTTCCTAAATTTACCAAGGAACTAGAAGATTTTACTTTTTTCTTGGCATTAAATACTAAATTCAAAAAGGAATTGGTTTCTGAAGATTATCCACATTTAATTGGGATTTTACCACCATTATCTTCATGCCTCTTTGCCAACATTTGTTATGGTTTGGATCTTTGTACACAGTATGGTAGTATTATGTCCAGATTCACAATTGAAGTCACTCAAGAAATGTTGGAGGAGATAAGCTATTGTTTAAGCAATTCAAAGCCAGATGAACAACTTAAGGCATTTATTTTTCTGAAAGCAGCTGCGAAAAAGTTGTATTTGACTGAGTTTACAAACCAGGTAGTTATTTCTTTTATCTTTTGAAGTTTTGAATTTCAAATATGTGCAAACATTTCTGGAATTTAAACTTATTTGAACATTGTATTCATTATACTGAGAAACTGTCTCAAAAATATTCTGGATGATTTATCAAGTTTGTGCTTCAGCCATATCAATTGTGCTAGCTTCGCCCTAAAGTAAAATATCCTGCTTTTATTTAATGAAACAGTCTTTTCTGTAGTTTAAAATATTATGCATTATACCTAATATAGTTTATACAAGTTCTCTAAACATTTACGTAAAACTGAAATACTAAAGTTAAATATATTTAATAGTTGAGTATATAATTTTTTTTCTATCTAGATAGAAAGCTCTATAGAAAATATTGTCAGTGCTTCAAATGATGTATTAAAAAATCTCAATGGAATTGGTGTCAGTTATGCAAAGGAAATGAAAGAGAAAGAAATATACCAACATATGGGATTAATAATGCTTAATTTATTGGATTTATTATTAGATATTGATGAGAATACTCTGTCATTAAGAAGATTTTTAGAGTGCTTGTTTGCGACAACTTGCAACACATTCAGCAGCGTATCCTTGAATGTATTTTGTACTTGGGCTGAGGTAAGTAAGTATGTTTCAAAAAAATGCTCTATGTTTAGGTACTTTCATGTTAATATGAGGTTTTAAATTTAAATTTAACCTTTATACTATCCCAGTTAACTCATTGAATTCACTTGGTTAGTTTTCCATTATGAATCAGACTTAACTTCATTCATACATGTATAAAATCATTTCACTTTTTTCATGTCCCATTATTTAGCTACCATCATTCCTACTGCAAGACCTCTTTAATGAAAGGACGAGAAGGGAAATGCACATTTTGTGAATACAGTATTGTTCAATATTATATTAAATTACTTTACTATAAATAAATTTCTTGTAATTTTAGGTTAAATATGAGGATCAACCTCTTCAACTCATTGTGGCTGGTAGAGCCTATTTAGTTATAGAAAAATATAGGAATATCGATCTAGCAACTGAATTAATTAGCATGCTTAGCACAATAGCAAAGAAGCCAAAAACAATAAATCAACTGATAGACGAAGCTGACCTATCTACCATAATCAGTAAAGTAAGCAAAGCAGATGCCCATCAACATAAATGGTTTAAAGCCCTATTAAAATACAACATATTCCATGACGATAATGCTTGGCAATGTGTTGAACAATGGTACCATTTATGTGATGAAACTGATTTTAAAAAACTTTTAAATCAACCTGTTGGTGACAATAAATCAAGATATAGAAATATCATACAGAAATGTGCCTCAAACTTAAGCTCAGAATTTCTGAAAAGGACTTTGATTGGTGAGTTATGGCACAAAGATTTTCAATGGCATGAAGATACTCAAGATAGACTGGTGTTGACTTTTAACAGGATGGAAGCTCAATTAAAAGAGACTGACTTAAAAGATCTTTTATTACTACTATTTGAAAATGTTTCTTTATTTTTTCGGCATCTCTATTTAGTTACATTTAATGGATCACAGATTAGCAGCCAAGTGTTCAATTTAACAGCAGACATTGCATCTATCAACAATGTTGGACTTGAAAATATTAAAGTACTCTTTGGAGAAAACCAACCAACAGATCAAAATGTTAGTGGTTATGTCAAATTGTTTGAAGCGATCAATAGCTGTGGTTCCTTTTCATGGGATACTATTATTTTGGATATTTTACTACCATTTTTGCAAAAATATAGAAGTGATAAAGCTTTGGATACACTATGTAGTTGTCTTCAACTTCTAAAGGTAAGCACTCTTAAATTATTAGTTAAACAAGTTTTTCAAGCAAAAGAAAAAATCCATGGCATATAGTGTTTAGATACAAACAATTACCTAATTTGTCTGCACTTTATATAAATTTCAGCATTTTGGTGAAGTTAATCTCAATTTGACGACAGAACAAAAAATTTTTCAAGAACTTCTGGTTTGTTCTGCGGAGAACAGATGGAGATCATTTTTACAGTTTGCCAATGAAAAGGAAGGGATTGTTAAAAATTGTGTGGAGTTTATCTTAAAAAGGATTGATTTCTTAACATCCAACAAACAAGACCAGCTTGTAAATATGGGTAATATTTCCATTCCACTGTTGAATTGTTATACCTGATGTGCTCCAAAATGGTGAACTTTCAGAAACTATTTCTTAATGCAGATTTTAAAAGTAAATAATTAAAGTCTTCTATGGTGGCATGTTTAATTATTTTGAAGAGTTTTGTAGTTCTCAAGATATTTTATCTTTTTTACATTGTTTGACCACCATACAAATGTAATTATTATTAGTTATTATTAGTTACACACGTATGTTTTATAGTATCTGTGGAATATATTAATGACCCTTGGTCCATGTATTACAAAGAATTACATACAGGAGAAGTCCGACCAAGTCTAATTGGTTGCATTTTGCCAAACATTGAGCTTACAAGCTATTATCAGGAAAACCCAGATGAAAGCTTCACACACTTGATGAAGGTATTAAAATCAATTATCTTTTGTAATATCTGATTGGTATTAATCTCCTAGATTCTTCCATGTTGCGTAACGCCAGAATGGTATATTATCTTTAAAGAATTTGAAAACCGGCAAGGATTTTCCGCAACTTTGAACCTTTTTTCCGATATTATCATTCTTTTGTGTGATTTTGCAGAATCTCAAAAAAAACAGCAAACTGAAAACTTCAACCAGATAATTCATCCTTTAAAATATTGTTTGCAGAACTATGGAAAGTTGCTTGCAAAGGTAAGTTGTGCTAGTACCAAACTTCTTAACAAATTTCTTTATGTATTTTGGACCGAAATTCATATTAGACAAAAGCACTTTTGAAATGTGCACTTCAGTATTACTATAATTGTGATGCCTCTGAAAGATATTGAAATTCAAAAAAAGGCAATTCATTAAAATGGCCTAAGAATCCAAAACAGTGTCATTTCAAATATTATATAGGTATCATGTAATATATTTTTTTTAGTATTTGCAGGAAGCAAGCAAGGAAGATCAGATTGGCGCTATAAATTGTGTATGCAGAATGCTCAAATATATTCCTAATCCAGTAAAAACTACAGAAGGCATGTTCTTAGTTAATGTGCTACCCGAAAATGTTCTGAAAATGCTGGCACAAAACAAGGAATTCATAGCACGTGTAGTGCTTATCAATGACCAAATATTGTGCAAAGCTCTAGCTCAAAAAATTGTTGGAACAAAATAATCACTTTTTTATTGGTCACTTGTTACTACTCTCAAAAAATACATATTTTGTTTCTTACTCATTTTATTTTTCTTCTGTACGAGGGAAATAACATAAAACAGCCTGCGTGGATGCAATAAACAAACAAACATCCATATTTTTTGCCCTATCACATAATTTTTTTATAGCGCTCCAATTTTAAAAAATGTTATTATGACATGAATGTGTTTGTTCCGTGTTAGGCATGATTTTTAAATGAATTGATTTTTGTGAAACTAATTTCGATTTGGCAACACTGGATAATATTAGATTCTCTGCAAAACAACGGAGTTGGCGCATTAGCTTCAATAGAGGGTTGTGACCTGCTTATGCGCAGCTTGGTTGTATTGGCCCTCGTGGTACTGTGTTCGCGGCTGTTGTCTTTATTGTTCCTTATTTCTAGTGTTCTAGAACATCAATATCGAAAGAAGACATTGTGTGAACAATCCAAATAACTCTTGTTATATCTGTAGTAATTCTGTTGTAGTAAAGCAAAGGCAAACTATAACTTCTTTTGGGAAAAATGTATACCACACTTATTTTGGCGTAAAAATTGGCGACCACGACAAGTCCTGGGCGCCTCATAATGTTTGTTCTGTTTTCGTTGAAGCATTAAGAAACTGGCAAACAAGTGATGATTGATATTTTTGTTCATGTAATGTTCAAGAATTTAACAGAAAAAATAAGTAACAAATTGTCTTGAATTGTCTCGAATCTTGACTTTCCTATTCAACCATGGACCAGATGTACCGATACCTACCGCCCCGAAAGAACTACAAAACGTCATATCGTCAGAATCAGAGGAATCTAATTCCTACCCAGAATTAAATAATTTAATTAGAGATTTACACCTTCCTTAATTCCAAAGGATGCATCTGAATTGTTAGCGTCCAGACTTCGTGACAAACATTTACTGGCACCTGGCGTCACATTAAGCTTTCATCGGGATCGCAAAAAAGAGTTTAGAAGACGAATGGCGCCTGTTTATTGACTCAAGTAAGTGTAGTTTAAAAGGCGTTTTATTGCCCAAAGGTAACGAACTGGCCGCGGTTCCCGTTGCAGAGTGCGTACATTTAAAAGAAACATTTGAAAATTAAGGATTTCTTTTCAAGAAAATAAACTACTAAGAATATCAGTGGATGCTTTGTGGTGACCTTACAGTGCTGTGCATGCTCCTAGGACATAGGGGTCATACAAAATTTCCATGCTTTATGTGTAATTGGACTGAAATAGAATGTCAATCTAGAACAAGCCTTACACCACGTAGCAAAAACGTATTAAGAGATGGGTTAGTTGACCCCAAAAAAGTTTTACTGCCTCTTCATATCATTCCACTGTTGAATTATTATACCTGATGTGCTCCAACATTGTGAACTTTCAAAAACTATTGAAAAATGGGTGTTTGATATTTATAAAAAAAATTATTCAATGAAACCAAACGCTTGAAACTTGATGGTTTAGTTTGGGAAAGGGGGAAGGTAATTTTGCAAAAAAAAAAATGTTTTAATGCCTCATATCAAACTTGGCTTGATGAAGCAGTTTGTTAAAGTCCTAGACAAAAACGGACAGTGTTTCACATATTTGTGTGAGAATCTTCCAGCCACATCGGATGCCAAGATAAAAAAAGGTTTTTGTTGGGCCGCAGATAAAAACATTATACAAAGACATGGATTTTCAAAACACAGTGACCAGTGTCGAGAAAAACTAACTGAAAAGCTTCTTGGGAACTCTAAGGACAGAAACTACGAAGGTATAGTTCATAATATGTTACAACGCTTCCATCGTCTATTGAACTATTTTCCTGATAATCTTGGAGCAGTTAGCGAAGAACAGGGAGAGAGGTTTCCCCAGGACATTAAGGCAGATGGAGCATAACGGTAATGGTGGACTAGTGCTGTATGTTAAAACGGGAACGCAGCTTTCTGGTAAAAAGACGATTGCTCTCAAAAAAGTCAGGGTAAAGTTTTTTTTTCTCTTTTTTTTTAAACTAGGATTCAATCTTTTTTACTGAATAAAAAAATTAAATTATTTTACAAATATCTTTTTTTTTTCCTTTAATATTTGTAAAAAACCTTCCGTGATACAAATAAATGCCTAGAATTTTTGAAGTCAGCCTACCAAAATTATATAAAATCAGTTTTAAAATAAAATCATCTGTCAAAAAGTTTAATTTTGTAGACCTGTGTTATTAATGGTGGTTGCAGTAGAATTTTTAAATCGAACATTTATGGGCATTAGGTGATGTTTTTTTTTTTGTAAAAGTTTGGCTTTTGTTTTTCTTCACATAAAGCCGAGCACTAATGCAAAATCGGAGGATTCAAATAGTGGACATACAAGGCAGGGATCAATCAAATTTGGTTAGCAGTTTTTTTTTTTTTTCATAAACATGCCCAACAGAGATTTTAATGCTGCTGTCAAATGATTAATGGGTATAACAACTGTCAACCTAAAACAAAAATTACTTCATCAAGAAGTGTAAGAATCTTAATATAATTAAGTAATAAGTAAATGTTTCTAAATATTTTGACAAGAACACTTTAAAATCTTCGGTCTTCATGTGTATTTACATTGTGATCTATATAATGGTCTAATAAATATTCAAACTTTCCTCTTGTTATAATATATTTACCAGTGTATGACAAAACCAGATAAAAAAATCATCTATCTGAATTGTAAAAATGAAAAAAAAAAAAAACTTACTAATTGCCCTAGGAATATCAGATTGATAAACTTAATCAATTTCAATAATTTCCAGTGAACTGCCGCTACTTGAACTTCTTCGTTTTATATGCTGAGTGGTAACATGCCGTTTCAAATCATTAAAACTTTTACATCTAATTGAACATATTGAACACTTATTACACAATCTTCTGTCACTGGCTTTTTGATATTTATGATCTATGTCACAAGGATATTCAGCACCACATTTATCACTCTTGGGATTTTTATCCAAGTTTCTGGTTAAATTATAAATTCCAGCGCCGAGTTCATCTTTTCTGCTAAAATACAATAAAAATATATCTATTTGCAAGATCTATTCCAGATGAAATGTTCTGTAATGTGCATCTCGCTTTCCAAGTTTTGATCTTTATTCATCAAAATTTTATAACCATTCTATCAACTTACCTACACTCATTTTCATAATGTGAGTCTATATCAACAAGCTCTACTTCCTCAATAGAAATTTTACTCTCAAAAATCTCTGTTTCACTATCTTTTCCAATGTTTTCTGAACTATAGTCAATATCACAACCACTGTCTTTTCCAATATTTTCTGGATATTTGGAAGCAATTTCATCTTCATCGTCACTGTAGTCAACATTCACTTGAGAATTAACACTTCCATGGGTAAGGGTATAATTAATAGAATTTATTTGAAGACTCCTTAAAGGAGGTAATTTATATTTAGCCCTTAGCTTATTGACTTCATTGTCAATATCTTGCTCATTTTCTTCCAGTAACTCATTATTTAAACTAACAAGATCATTGAGTAAATCTAAGGCATTTTGGGATTGGAAACAATTGTTTTTTGAGCCACTAGATGTAGATGATTGACTGTGTAAGATGGTCTCGATTTTTTGCTTTTTATTATGTTTATTAAAAGCTCTTACTTTTGCGTTAACACATTCAATGACACTTTTACTTTTTTGATTGCTAGGATTTGGGACTTTGTACAATGCTATCTTTTTGCATCTTTGCTGTTGTGTATCCATGACTCATTTATTCTCTCTGTTATAGATGCCTTCTAGCTTCAGAACTAAATCATTCTAATGGATTTCCAAAGATCCATAGCTGGCAGCATTTCAAACAACTAGTTTTCCTTTGAATCTTTTTACAGTACTTATACTATATCTATGCGGTAACGTTTACATTTCTGTGGAAATGTTGAAAACCTTGATTTCCAACAGCTGTTCAACATTATACAAAAATTCTACATTATATTGATATTAAACACTTAGTATAAAATTCTCGCTCCTTATAACCATATCGCCCTCGGTTTTGACAGGAGAAGTCGATAGAAAACAATATGTTATCTGGCAACAGTGTGCACACGCAGAGTTTAGAAATAGTGACAGGTGAGGCGATTTCTGACGATGTTACCTAAGTATACTTGAAAGCCACACGGAGAGAATTGATTTTGAAAAAAGAAAATCCCATAGAAAAAGATGCAGAAATTTAAGACGATAGAATAGATTAACGGATAGGTTAAATTTTGCCATAGAAGTAATATTCAGTATTGTTATTTTACCGATATCCGTACGTATGGTCTTGGACCTTAAAGAAATTAATTTCTCTGTCTTGTGCGTGCTTAAATGAGAGGTTTGATCATACCCTACAATATATAATTTTTGATTTGTTATTTAAAAAAATTAATGCGACGATTTTCAAAAATGTCTTGGTTTTCTCTTGTTGGAATTAATGTGCCTAGGGTTGTAACTTGTCGATATATATGCGTGACACCAGCCAAATATCAGGAAAATGTGGAAGACAGCAAACTGGAGTATAGAGAAGTAACAAAAAATAGGTCGGAATCTGTTCCAGTGGAAACTAGTATAAAATACTTGAAAAGTCCAGCTTATTTTCAGACCTATGGTGAAAAACCAGTATGGGTACCTTACAGAAGAAATCATAAGGGAACATTCCCTCCAACAATGACCAGAAAAACGTGCATACGAAATGGAGTAATTTCTACTGGTAATCCATGCCCCATATGCAGAGATGAATATCTGGTTTTAAATGAACAAAACACTGAACTTCTGAAACAGTTTATATCACCACAAACTGGGGCAATCTTAGGTTATTCTATAACAGGTTTATGCCGGAAGAAACATCAAGAATTGGAAGTTAAAATCAAGAGGGCATATGATATGGGGTTGATAACATATGATGTACCATTTCGCAAATATGACTATTTAGAATATCAACAAACACAACAATAAATTACAATATTCTAAAATATTTTATTCACAATCTGCATGGAATAAAAATAAAGTGGATAAGTAAATTTCAATAAAAAATAAATGTTGACTGTTTGTTTATTCCAAGTAATTTTGGAGAATAACTGTTACTACATATATAAAATGGATTATAGGTCTTCTTAAGTAATTTCTCATTACTTAGCCTTTATCAAAACACAGGAACAGTTTTTTTGACAGGTTTTATTATACCATAACTTTTATTTAGATATTTACGTAAATGTTTAATAGGACATCTCAGGAAGCGAGTGATAAAGGTAAGTATAATTACAAAAATATCACCAATTGGTAAATTAAAAAATTGCTATTCTCATAATGGAACCAACATCTCATGTTGCAATGCAATAAATAAATGATATATAATACTTTCATATAACTAAGAAATGAGATTCATAGCAGGTATCTTGTTACTAGATTCTTGAGAGAAGGCAGCTTCTCTTAAAAAATTTACATGTTCTTCCATTTCCAGTAGTAATTTGTCAATCCATGCAAGATTCCATTTATCCTTAGCTCCACATTCATATTTAGATATTAATGCTAAATGGGTGACTGCAAGTGTTAATGCACTTGCCCTTGCTTCTAAAAGTCTAGGGTCCAATGGAGGATACATGCTTCTTACTAAGTCATCAACTTTGCTAGAAATTCTTTTGGCGCTGTCAACAATTTGACCAAAATTTCCAGATAAAGGTGTAGAATTCATTGCCATTGTTGTTAAACATTCAGTTAAGTATCGGCATGTTTTTAAAATTGTCAAACAATGCGGAATTAGACCTGTTGCATCATCAATCCACTGATCATTTAGTAGAATTGATTCCAAATTCATATTGACTGCCCCCAATTCCAACTCCGGGACTTCAGGTTCTATTAGTTGCTTTTCGGGGCGTGTCGATTCCTGATAAGTGTCAAGGTATGTACCTTTATAAATCATCCTTTGCTTGCGGCATATTACGATCAAAATTATGAAGGCGCTAACAAATATTGCAGACAACACTCCAAAGGCGATCGCAGCTACCATTTCGGCATATTCTGGAGGCATTTCAATAGATACGATTTAACCGTTTAATTTTAAATTTCTGAAACATATTAGATACTGAGAGAAACACTTGACCACTAATTTTTCAGATGTAACAAATTTTAAACAATCTTGTAACACTTGTAAAACCTGTTGCTTCGCGATTTTTGAGCTTAGATCATAGAAAAATACTTTTGGTCAAGCATAGGTGTATATTTATATTGAAATCAAAAATCTATCCTAGATTAAATTGTTTCATATCAAGAAATATCCCTTATTCTGAAATTGAATAGAGAATATTTTACTGTTCGTCTTTCCAAACCTTATTACGAATCATGCTCGTTATATCTGTGTTTCGGTTTGGTAACTTGTTTAGGGAATTTCTACAATTAGTTAACAGGAGCCATTTGCCAGTAGTGCCACCTTTTAATAATATTTAGCGTCAAGAAGTGGACACCATTTTATAGCTTGTATATAAATTTTATTTTTCTTTTGTATGTTAAAAGAAAATGAGTGATTATTCGGCTGTAGGTCCACCGCAGCAAAATTACAATCAGTCTTCAGCATTTGCAGCGGCATTACAGCGGGCTAAACAGGTAATATCGGCAAATGATGATATGTATTTTAATGGCTTCCTTTTTGCCAACGTGCCGGTTTCCAGTTTTTACCAGGGGTACATTTTTCTTAAATCTAATGATTCCAGATTGCCGCAAAAATTAATCCTGGATCTACAAATTCGAGCGACAGCCGACCGAAAAGGCCATTAGAAGACGGCTCAGGTGAGAACTTAATATTAAAATAGCCGATTTTATTGATTTCGTACAATTAATGAATCTTCAATGTGCCGCTTAAAGAAAGTGAATTTTCAGAACCGGATGCGAAAAAGGGACCGGGGGCATTAGGAGGATCACAGGGAGGACCACCAATGGGCAGACCACCACAAAGTCAGGGTGGTATGGGTGGCCCACCAATGGGTAATGGTCCACAAGTTAATGAAGACATTAAAGTTCCAGATAAAATGGTTGGCTTAAGTAAGTATTTTGGTTATATAAACTCACTAGAAATGTGTGGTGTTGCACCTTCCGTTTAAAGACTGATGCTCATCTGAAGCTGATGGTGTTCAGCTTTAGTACCTGTCACTCAATTAACTTTTTGTTGTATAAAAAGGCTTACATATACAAAAACGTACATGCTGTCAGGTTGCAGAGTAAGGCCACTGATGAAAAAATTAAAAGCGAATGTAAAAGGCAAGACTCCACTCCAATTGTTGGCATAATATTGGTTTTTATTTTGCTATTCAGCAGAATGAGCGATTGCTAGTCATTACTAGTGTGAAATGATGTTTTTTATTCAGTTTTAAATATCTAATCCAAGAATTTTGTTAATTAAATAAGTTGAAGTTGTTTTTTCATACTGATTGACATATCAGATCATTCCTCTCTAGAACAAATATATTTTGGCAAATTTTGTCCATAGGTTTTTTATTTTAACTCTTATTGTGGTTATTCTGAAAATTAAAAGGAATTAAAGTCAAATTCACATTCCTGTATGTTGGGTTTTGTTTTGGTTGAACACCACTTTTGCTATAGAAAATTTATAAATTTAATTACCCATTGAAATTGAAATATCTATGTATAACCGTTCTTGACAGGCATTTCTTTTTTAACTATTATTTTTATCTAAAATACTTTGTTATGCGATATTGTCGCTATGTATAATATTTCTCAACATTATATGAACTACTCTGCAAGAAAATGAATAATAATTTCTAATGATAAATAAATATCCATTTAAAAAATAATTTGTTTCCTCAAACAATATTTATTTTGTTGTGTTTTATGATTTCTATGGAAATCCTCAAAAGCCAAAACCGTATTGCCCTGACGATTTTGTAATATGACCTGAAGAGAAATACACGCTCTGGAAGTCCGCAAGGCCAAGACTCCATGTGTTTTAATTTTTTTAGGAGTGAATGTGACTGGCCTTGTGGTAACAAAAATCCTTGTTTATCTACAATGCGATTTACATAAAATTAAGCGCCAAACTTTGTCATATAAACATAATTTTCTGTGAAAATTACATGGAATTCAAGGAAATTAGCGGTTCTATCAAAAATTGTGTTTGTGTGGAATTTATGTTGGAGCCTTGTTTTTGCTTCTCTATTTAAATATTCATAAAAAAAAAAGTAACAAATTTTTCCCTCGTGCTGAGGAATACAAACATTTTTGTGTTAGAACAATAGGAGATAATCAAATAGTTCAATTAATTCAGTAAAACATTTTAGAGTAGGCAGTGCAATCTTGCAAATATGACTGTATGTAGGTGAAAGAGGTTGCAGAATAGCCCTAGAAGTTGCTAGTTTTTGTACATTCCCATGTTATTCCATTACATTATTTGGAGTAGTAAAAATCCTAATCCTATACAACCAGATTCGTCCTTTGCTTCTATATGAATAGCTAAAAATTGTTTTTGGTATAGTTTTACTGTAAAGTTTAAAACAGTTGTTATTTATTATTATTAATAGTGGATAAATAATTGAAGGTAAAAGGTAAATCAACTACTGTATGTTGTGTAAAAATATATCAGCGTAGGTACCCAAAACAATTGAAACAGGAAATCTACTACGGGACGAAAAATAGAAATTGATTTTCCAGAAAATGAAATATGGGTATGAGTATGAACATGAACATAAACATCAGTTAACTCTTTCATTTCCTCTAATACTATGTATTGGGTGTTATTGAAATGTTACATATTGTTTGGTCAAATAAAACAATTTTTTGTAATATTTTCTCGCCCCAAAAATATTTCTTCTTAAATTAGATAAAAAGGTTGACTGTTTCCTTTATATCTTCTGCATCAAATTCTATAGATTTTAGTTTGTCATAAGGTGAAGAAATTTGAAATGATTATTAGGTTCGACCACAAACAATATTTGCTTATGCTCACAACAGTCATTAAAAACACAAATAATCACAAAACTATGAAACAAGAGCATGGGGACATTAAATTAAAACAAATACTGGAATATATTTTCACAATTTTACAATATATTTTTGTCTTACTTAGGGAGTCCATACATAGTTTTGATTTTATTCGAGATAAAAGCAACAAAATTAAATATTTTATTGCATATTTAGAAATGTAAAATTTAATTAAATTAGTTAATAGCATACATGTAAATGCGTATTATTTTATGGTGCCGCTAACAATAGTGAGTACAGTAGTGTACATATTCTTGGTTATAAATAAAAAAAAATGTGATACTGCCAATTTAACATAAGAAATACCAGTCCAACATGGCATCATTTGCTGGAAGTTAGCATTCATTTGTGGATGGTGTAATAATAATAAATACAGATTTGAGTAAATATTATGTGATATTAATGGAATATGTGTCATTTGATAGATCTCTAGAATTAAAAAAATATTTGAAGCTATTACTTACTGTATACTTTTTCTAAAATAGTTAGTTCGTGATTTTGTTAAGAGAGAAAACTTTTTGTTGTGCTTAATTGTAATAGTAATGGAAGGGACTATTTATTGAGATATGAAATTATCAAATTAACTTGAAAAAAATTGTAAAAAAAAAGGCATTGGAAAATGAAAAGCTTCGTTGGCCATGATGAAGTCGTATCTAAAGTGGCGTTTATCAAGCTTGTTGCATAATATACTATTATGTTCCGGATATATCTAGCTTTCATTATACTGTATTGTATTTTTTCTTTTGGTTTGTACATATCCTATGTGCTTCTGGCCATTGTCATAATGTTGTAACTTTTCTTTATTAGGTATAGGTAGTTGTTTGTGCTTTTGATAAGCATTAGAAATTTTCGACTGGCCCTGGTCGAATCTACTCCTATTAATCTAACCAGTGGGTGTCAGGTAGTAGGCTTACAATTACTAATCACGTTTTTCTTGCTGGTGTATAGGTTTATTAAAATTGGTGGGATGTAATGTTTAAAAAAAGTGTCATTAATTATAGTTTTAATAATGTTGTTTTCAGGAATCATGGCGCCTATTTCACTTTGGGCAAAATTTTAATTGTTTGTTAAAAATAGTTGGAGTTTGTAACTATTTAAATCTTTTTTACCCTCTATTGAAGAGAAATCGAAAATCTTCAACGGAAAAAAATATTTCAAAGTCGAGATGTTGTTTCAACCAATTGAAAAGTTATAAGTCTGATCCAAAATAATTGCAGTTATAACATATATAGGTTCTTATAACTATAACCACCGGAGTGCTTACCAACTTATGACGATATAGCAACTGGGGCGCCTTGGTAATTAATTAATATCTAATCTAATATTTCTCACATGAAGAATCTGGGTCTCATTAAAATATTTTGACAAAACGCTATTGCTGTGTACCCTTATTCGTATAAAACTCGCAATTAATGAAAGAACTATCAAAAACCTCCTAAAATGTAAACCACCGTGCTTTTTCTCAGAAACCTTTACTTGCATGAAAACTTGTACGTACAGCGTGTCCCATTTTTGATGGTTTTACGGCGTAGCTCCCCTATTAATAAAGCTAACGTCTTCCGGCTTTCGGGAGTCACGGCTACTTTTTTATGAAGTTAATAGTGACAGGATTTTTAGATGTAGTGTGAAATGTCTGGGTAGAGTTTTTCATATAGTCACTAGAGATATAGAGGTCCATTCAACATGCGCATGTGCGAGATTTAAAATCTTGGTTTTATGGTTTCAACCAATAACCTTGCAGCATTCAACAACTAACGTGGCCGCTGACAGATCGCTGTCTAGAAATAAAATGGCGCAATATGCAGGTTAGTGAGTGAAATATGAAAGCATGCGATGAAGATTATTGCCATCTCTACGAAAATATGACCACCTGAGGCGCATCAATTTTTTTCCGAAGTAAGACCAGTGTATTATCTAATAGGATGCAATCGCTTAGTCACATTACAGTTTGAATACAGCCCTATTATATTTAATTTATCATAATTTTCAGTTAATATGAACCATGGCGGAGGGAAAATACTGACATTTTCAATAAGTTCGCGTATAACCGAATTATAAAGGGTAGCTGAAAATGCAAAATTGCTACTTTTCATTTCATAGTGAGTAGCATGGATCACGAAAGTTACAACACGCTAGCTTTATTAATACGGAAGGTACGCCATAGAACACTGCGTAGAAGGATAGTCCTCCAAAGTGATTGTTTAAAGTATACTCTGCCTTTACTAAAATATGTCGCTATTTTCTGAAAAAAATTACAAATAATTTAATATATTTTTGTTTTTCGAGCCCAGTCGCGGGATTTTTTAGTAATCGCTAAGAATTCACTCCTGAACACTTTCAGCTTTGTGCTTATAACCCACACACAACGTGTACATTCTCGAAAAAAATCATACAGCACAAAGGTCATGGCGCAGTTCTGGTTTGTGGATATTATCGAATCGAATAAATACTGTTCGAAAAACGCATTTTTTCTACCAATACGTTTTTCCACTGCTTGTTTGTGTCTTTAAATCATCTTTGAGTAATTTAATCTTTATTTTTACCCCTATACACAGAAAAAGTGTTGATAGTTCATAGAATATTTTTTGGATAACTAATTTTTCAATGCTTTTTTTTTTCGTTGTTTTCTTGTCCACACAAATGTAATCATCGAAGCGATTTTTTAAATAAAAAATGAGGAACACTTAAATTAATTCCTGAAAAATTAGAATTAATTTGTAAGGAACATATAATATACCGAACTTCTCATTCGTCACTTTTTTTGAAGAAATAAAACGATTGTATATTTCGTTTCCTTTTAATGTCACTTTATCGACTGTGAATTAGCAATCTTCCTATATTTATCAGAATGCCTATTTACTACATTACATTTGTTTCTACAATTTTTTTTTTCGGAAACATCTAATATATTTGTTTAAATTGCTGTAGGAATTCGTATTATGCAAGCGCACCCTGGATATCTTTTCTTCTTTTAATTTTGGTGTGTTGTGCCTTGAACGCCCTGGCAACTTTAAGAATAGCCGGCACCACACATTTCTCGTGCTACATGGTACATCTAAAAATAGGCGTTCTCCACAAAGAGCTGTTGTATATTTTCCAGTAATTGGTCGCGGAGGTGAACAGATAACTAGGCTGCAATCCGAGTCGGGTTGTAAGATACAGATGGCACCCGATTCGCAGGGCCAGCCTGACCGCATCTGCTCGTTGTCAGGTTCAAAGGAGGCCGTCGTTCGTGCCAAGGAGCTCATCATGAGCATTGTGCACCAACGGGGCGGCGCTCACGACGGAGGCCCCGACAATGGCTTGGGTCCCAGGGGCCCCGGTGGTCCGCCGCCCCACGGCGGGGGCCCCCACGGCGGCTTCCAAGGTCATTATTTCTTTTTACCATGCTTAAAGATCTTTCCTTCGTTTTCGCATGAGATGATGCATGTCTTTTAATAACTTGGATTTTCCCTGTTCCATTGACTAACCCAAGTTTGAATTATTTGTATTAGTGACTTAGGAAACATTTCATAAGCTGTTAACATTCCTATGATATGTTTGCTTGTTACTCAGTTTCAATTTAGTTGTTTTGTAGATTTAGTTGTTTTTCTTATTCTATACATTACCATAAGGATATCCATAATTATTCAAATATTACCGCTCTCTTCACGCTTCTGTTGGTACAGTAAAATTAAAGTTGTTCCTAGAGAGCAGGATCTGACAGTTGACAGCTTGTAAATCGCCGTGGGTGGTTAATCGACAATCGCTTGAAACTGGCTTGGAGTATTTATTCTGTTTGATCGAATACAAATTGAATGCAGAATGAGATATTTTAAACATAATGTTTAATAAATTTCTCGCGTTTTGATTAATTTGCGTTGCATTTCTTCTTTTTCGTTGTTATAAATATATAAAATCATTTGTGCAGTTGACACTAGTTATACAGTTATCCTACGAGGTTCTTTTATACCTAAGTAATAGTATATTTTATCGAAAAATTTAAATGTTAAAGATGTATGCAATAAAAATAGTTGCTATTATACAAAGTATCCTATAAATATCTCAGGATACCTAACTTCCTTATTTTAAATGGAACACCCTGTAGATTATTTAATTTTTTTATTTCTAAGAAAATTTCGTATTAAATATCTTACTTAATCTCAATAGTAAACGGAAACACAGACTGTCCTAAATTTACCAACCAATTATATTATATTTTCAAGGATGCAAAATTGTTTTTTCAAATATGTATGTTGTGATCCACTATCTAATTCTGATCGATTGACTATGCCTTCCAACGTTTTTCTTGTCGTTTCGTATTTTCTATCAAAAGTCCATCCAAGCCCACAGCCTGCTAAACGTCACAGTAGACGTCAATGAATGTAGTTCTTTAAAAAAGGAAAATATACCTTTGCAAATAACGTAACTTTTCAACAAATTGTGTACACCCTGTTTGGGATCAGTCAATTCTCAATATGAAATACATTTTCGTGGTTTCCTCGGCCATACATGCGATTATTACGATTATGGTTAAAGGTTGTGTTCGAAATGATGTTACATCTCCCAAAATTTTAAATTTATTCACGGTATCTAAGAAACTATTGGAATTAAGTATTGAGAAATCTTATGAAAACCTACCATAAAATTTTCTTAGAAATACACAAACGAAATAATAAATAGCGTGTTCCATTTAAAATACGGAAATCAGATGACTCAAACGTTTTTGTATTTATAATTTTTCGATTTAGTAAGTTATTATGGAGATATATAAGAATCCCGCAATAGTAAGCTACCCTGTATGTATTAAACTATGTACATTTGCATTGTGCAGACCCATAAAATACAAATATTTTTTAGGAGGCATGAATAATATGGGTATGGGAGGACCACCAGGGATGGGAGGCCCTCCAGGGATGGGCGGTCCACCTGGTATGGGAGGAATGGGTCCTGGTGGAATGGGGGGTGCTCCGTCAGGTCAAGGAGGACGTACTAGTGTAGAAATTATGATACCAGGGCCCAAAGTTGGCTTAATTATAGGAAAAGGAGGTGAAACCATTAAACAATTACAGGAAAAAAGTGGGGCAAAAATGGTAGTCATACAGGTAATTTATAAATATTTTGTAATTTATGTAAAAATGTAAAATTTCGAGGTGTTGAAAATTCGGATATTTTGTAATCATTGCAATATTAATTATATATCTTTTTCATAGGAGGGACCCAATCAGGAACATGAGAAACCTTTGGTCATAAGTGGTGAGCCACAGCGGGTTGAACATGCTAAACAATTAGTTTATGATTTGATTGCTGAGAAAGAGATGAAAACTTTTAATAGAGGCGGAGGAGGACGGGGTAGAAATGACAGGTAGACCAAAACATTGTGTAGTTGTTATGTTGTTTTTATTTACAGTTTTCTCATTGAACCTCTTCATTCAGTGTTCTTAATATTTCACAATTATTTTTATGATTACATTATTGTTAATAGAATTACCATTGGCTTTCAGGAATCAGGACAGTTACAATGATTATGGTGGGAATTCTGGTGAAGTTGAAGTCTTGGTTCCACGAGCGGCAGTTGGTGTGGTCATAGGAAAAGGTGGAGATATGATTAAAAAAATTCAATCTGAAACAGGTGCTAGAGTGCAGTTTCAACAAGCACGGGATGAAGGTCCAGGAGACCGCAGTTGCTTTTTATCAGGCAATCCAAAGCAGGTTGAACATGTATGTTTGATAAATTGTCAACAAGCTTGGTATTAATCATTAATTATTTATCATTTGCTTTGTAGGCGCGTCAAAAAATAGAAGAATTAATAGATAGTGTACAACAAAGAGATGCTGGCCATGATATGGGTCGAATGGGTGGTGGTGGTAGAGGCGGGAGAGGGCGTGGAGGTGGTCGAGGTGGTGGTAGAGGGGGTTTCATGGGCGATCGTAATAACGATAGAGGTGGTTATGGAGACGGGGGCAATGGCTGGAATGATAGAAACCAAGTTGGTGCCCAACAGGAAGTTCAATTTACAGTGCCGAGTAATAAGTGTGGAGTCATTATTGGTAGAGGTGAGTGTGCAATTTTACATTGACCTGATTTAAGTTCATTTAATTTTGTGATTTAGGGGGAGAAACTATAAAGCAAATTAATCAGCAATCAGGCGCATACTGCGAAATTGACAGAAGAAGTAATTCGAACCCAAATGAAAAAACTTTTATTATAAAAGGAGACCCTGATACCATAGAGAGCGCTAAGCGCATAATACAGGACAAAATTCAAATGCCGCTCAACTTTGTCAGTACTTCTGGTCCGCCCATGGCAAATAGTATGCCTACCGTAAGTAGAAGGTTCATCCCATTTGCAAGTCTACAGGAATTTTTCACTTCGAATGTCTGTCTTTATGGTAGTTAATAAGACTCTCGACCAAATTTTCCTCCTCGACCTTTTTTGGTAGTCTTGATTACCTCCCTAGTTACTATTATTATTGAGTTTTGAATTTTTTAAACAGTAGTTTTCTGATTAGCGCTCTGTGGTTGGGACTATAAGTGCTATAGTCATTGACGTCCCCAATCTTTATTTCATTAACATTGGGAATAAAAATAAGTAATTGGAATTAAATTTTTATTTTTGCCAAAAAATATTGGTGTTCTTAGGCATATCCTGGAATGGCACCCCAAGGTTATAATCCCCAAGGTTGGGGTAATATGCCTGGATATCAACAACAGTGGGGTCAACCACCCCAAGGAAATGATTCTACTCAAAATAATGCTGTAGGAAATTCGCAAGTTTCTGTCAATCCGGCCACTGGCCAACCAGATTATTCTTTACAATGGGCTGAATATTACAGGTATAAATTATTCATTTTTTGCAACTAGAATATAGAACAATTTTTTTTCAATCATCTTACTTTTTTCATTTAGAACACTGGGAATGCACAGGGAAGCCGAAATGATTGAACAACAAGCAAAATCAAAAAATGCTGGAGGAGGTGCAGTAGGTGGTGGTGCACCCCAAACTGGAGCAGTGCCATCCACTAACAACTCTGCCGCTTCTTCAGCCGGCCAGCCAGATTACAGCGCTCAATGGGCCGAATACTATAGAAGTATAGGAAAAGTGAAAGAAGCTGAAGCCATCGAAGCGCAAATGAAAACTAAAGTGAGTATCTTTTTAAATGATTTTTACTACTTTTTGTAAAATAGACGTTGATCCCCTTATATGACATTTTTGTAAAATAGGCGTTGATTCCCTTATATGACATTTGATAATTGTTTAACAGGGTCAGGGTTCTGCAGTACCATCTTCTGGTGTGTCTGGCGCTGCTGCAGTTCAACAAACCACTGGAGCTGCTCCAACAGGTTATCAACAACCATATGGAGCATATCAGGCACCTACAGGTAATTTTTGTTGTTGTTATGAAGATATCAGTATAATGCATTTATTTGTACTTTGGCCAAGTTTACCTTCTCTGTGTTTTGTTCTTGGTCTTTTTAATTAGCTGTAGCTGAAAGGCTTTGCTAACTGTGATTAATGTTAGAAGTGTAGAATACTGAGTTAAGAACTATCTTATTTTTGGATGTTTCATAGATAATGATAGAATGATTAAATTTTATATTGTGTGTTCGTAATATATATTTTTTTAAATTAGAAGATCTGGCTGGTTAGCTGTGACTTTGGCAAACTTTTAATAAGTGCATTTCCATTTATTTATTTTTTAAGATTTTATTTTGTTTTGCTCTTTTGCAGCAAATTATTATGGAGCGCAACCTCAGGCTGGCGTACCGGGCGCAGTTCCACAACAAAATTATGGTTTTCCGTCGTACGGCTATGGAGGTCAACCCACCGCAGCTCCGCCCAATCCGCCAGATAACTAACCTTGAACTTACGTGAGTGTTGATTGTATTATTTTTTTATAACATTTACAAATGTCTGATGAGTATCTGTGGTGTTTTGATTTTTTTTTGTTTCATTATTTTTTATTTCAGGATTATTTGTATGTTGTCAATAAGCTTTATTAAACGAGAATGCATTGTCAAGTAAATGATTTTGACCGTTAGTGACACAACAATCGCTTGTTGGACAATGCATTCTTTTTTCAGGAGGTGTGACCAGCGAGATATCAGTTTTGTCATTTGCAGATTTAAAATGTGGCCCCCTGTTGTCAAGTAAAGAGATCGATGGGAAATACAAATTCTTAGGTCATAAGAAACCATTTTAAAAACCGCCTAGTTATAAGAGACTATTTTATGAGCCCTGCCCTTCCATCGACCTTTGAGTTTGAAGAGTGCATCGTCTAGATTATATGTGTAACATTTAGTTAATAGTTTTTAAGGTATTCTGTTTACTTTTCTTGTAAAAGGAAGTAGATATTTACTTCCTGAATTTATATAAAGTTGGGCAGTATTTTGTTTAACATGGTATTTTTATTGTTTCCATTAACAAGGCATGCATTCTTACACAATACATATTTGAAAAGGTTTAGAATTTCGCAAATATCTTTTTTCATACTCCATAGGCTTAGGGGCAGTCTAAAGCAACAAGAAGATGGAGGTCTGACTTGGTAAGAATGACGGTTAACACGAACAATAGTGAGGATATTTAAAATAAATATATATTGACTTTTGCTTTTGCTTTTTATCCGAATTATTATGACTTCTATTTTGCTTAATTAATTAAGTCAATATCCTTATAAATAAAGGGAACATTGCCAAAATTGCAAGCTTAACCGTCGAAATTGAAAAAGTAGGTGTCATTTGGTCTTAAGTATTCAATATCCTTATAAATTCTTCACCTTAAAAATATGATTTAAAGTTGGTGGTCAAAAGACAATGAAAATATCTTTTCAAAACTGGTTATATTTGTAATTTTTAAGGTACTGTAATTTTGTGTACAACTGTGTAATTGCTTCTTGTGTATGAAATTATTAAATTTAAACTTTCATCATTTGCGTTGTTTGTTGTTTTTCTTTGAAAATATTTTTCAGGTCACCCCGTCATCAGTCCATGTACCCACAGTGTCTCAAAAAATTGCAGGTTACTTATTTACTTGTTTCCACATTACTTTACTGTTCTTTGTTTTTTAAACATATATGAATCACTGAAGTGTACAATTTGTTTATTTCCATTATAGGTGCATATTGATGAGCATCAATCGATTGCATTTGATCATGTACTGATTGTTTCATATTGATTATTGATTCTGTCAAATTATGTTGATTTTGTATATCTTTGGCAATATGTGGCGTGGCAATTTTGATTTATCCTAAACAATTACCAAACCACATCACCAATATACTTAACATTAGGGTATGGGTTATAAATAAGTGAAAGTATGTTTGTATGTATGTATGTATGTATGTATGTATATGTATGTTTGTTCTGTTTTCCTAAAGAATAAAAACGAAATTTAATGCACGGTCTAATTCAATTTTGAAAATTGAATTGAAATTGCTCTTCTTGTTTTCCAAATCGCGATCTGTTAGCGCCAATCTAGCGGGATTTACATGGGTCAAAATGTTTTAGCTTTTAGAATGCTATTGATCTATTCTTTGATTTTAAAAATTTTGAACTTTTGAAAAAGAATAATAAATTTATTTTTTTATAAATGTCACACGAGATTATTGGACTGCTTCATTAAAGATGATTAAATGCCTTGTAGAACTAAATCATTGTTGCTTAGATTAATGGCCACTGATAATAGATATTAAACGTATTAAATGCGATCATGTATCTTTTTAATAACATATATATCAATTTGGTTTTATTTATATTGAATTACATTTTTTTACCCAGTCCTTCCGCCCCTTTTTCAGAGCTCAAATTTTCATGACTCCCCTCTCTCGCTGTTAATCGCTGACATAATTTGTAGATGTCCTCCAATAAGAGAATAATTTCATAATTTCGATGAAGGATATTTTGCAACATCGAGTTATGTCGCATTACGGTGAATATCTTTCAATAAAGAATAACGAATTCTTTTCAAATTACATTTTTTTTTTCGTAATGTCTCTTATATGCTTACTTTTTTCGTTATGGCACCTTGCAAAATGTTTCAAATTCGGGGCAGTATTTTAAATGACAAAAATAGCACATCCTCTCAGTGGAAGAGTTAAAATAGAAAAAAAGAAAGTCTGAGCTACTCCACAAAAATCTATTATTCAATATGTGCCTCATCTGCTTAAGTGGTCATCCTCAGCTACTAAAATTATTTAAAAAAAACTTTCTTCAAGACCAACCAGGGAAACACTTTTTCTTAAATTAAATAAATAATAATAATGCATATTGTCTGGGATGTTATTTTCCTTAAAGTTAAAGTTTGGATTGGGGGCGTTTAGTGCGTGAATGTTATTTTGGATGAGTATTGTCACAGTGTACAGATTTTTTCGATTTGCCTCTTTCGCTGCAGAGTACCTATTGGAATATAGTGGATGGCTCATCTGCTTGGTGTCGATTAAAAGGTTGAACGTTGGATTCTAGCCCCTTAATTAATGTGGGTTCATAATTTATTTTTTGTTATATGACGATAAATATAGGATATTATATTTAATATAATGAGTTATGTTTAGGTGAGTAAAATTGTGATATTTTTTGTTTTGTTACTACCATCTACAGTGCATTGCCATATTCACTCAAATCTTTTATTGTATGTATGTGAAATACTGTACGATATATTTTTTGGTTATTTTTGCGTCATGTGTTAATTTTTGCTGACACGTAATTTCCAGTTCTTTCATTACTTGTTGCAGAGATGGAGTCAACAGATCACCCACCCACATTGCTTTGTCTTTAAAATTATTTTGGAGTTTAGGCTATTAATTCCTGTTATTTTAAATTGCATTTGCATAACGAGTAAGGTGCTATTTATACACATTGCGCATTTTGAGAGTTTGATAAGTTTAATCTCGTAAATTGGTCTGGTATTATGTGAAGTATCTTCTTCATTATTATGGTAGTTCTATTTCTGCTTTATATATCAATTTGTATATCATATTTGATTGAGGTGAAATAGTTGTACCGGTGTCCCTTTGAAAATACCACACAATTAAAAAGATTTTAATGATTTCGGGCATCCGTTTTCAGAAAATACTTTGGCAACAGCTGGGTCACAGTTTGAGTAGTCCCGGAAGTACGAGATTTATAAAAATGACCACTGGTCACCGTTGTGACTGACTATTGCCTAACACTGTAGGTTAATGGGAGGTGCAAACATCCAACTCCAAAATCTGGTAGGTGTGAAACGTACCTTTTTTCCTGATATATACATGTTGTCCCAAAAGTCTTGGATCAAGTTAAAGTAAGCCATATGGGGAGTTCATTTAAAAACGGTTTACGAACATCTTTTTACATCCATTTTCTCTTTAAATTCTCTATTTTTACATTTTTTATAATTTTTTTTATATTTATTTTTCTTAAAAAGAATGTTGAAATATGTACTATGTCATAGATTTGACGATGGAAAATGGTAGCATATTGTGAACCCGAGTTGGCACAAGTAGGATTTTGTTTTTATCATGGTGCATATTTCCAGAAAAACCGCGTGGTGTATAAAATTTTTCAGATTTATTTTTTGGTAAATGCGTCAAATTTCATTTTCAGGACACATTCATAAAGAAATTTTCATGCTGCAATTTTTTCTTACAGGGCTAGGATGGAAAGTAATAAAAATAAGGAAAAATAAAAATAATCCCTCACAAACTCTGTAGTGTATTTTTTGTAGGAGTAGTTTTGTTATAGCATTAACTATATGAATACACTTTACAAGACACATTTTTTTAATTAATGGTTTTTTGTTTTACTTGAGCATTAAATTTAGCGCAATGTTATAATGAAAACATTTTGCAATTTTTCAAGAAGGTGCGCTGTGGCAGCATGTTTCAACATTCAATCAAACAGAGAAAATTCCCGAAACAAAAAAAATTTTAAAACATTAAAAAAATAGTGATACTTGAAGTTGGATTTGGTCAAGTTTGGTTCGTTAGGTCTTTAATTGCAAATTCTCCTGTTCCTTGTTTTAATCAGATGCATGGCTTGAGACACTTTGTATAGTTCTCCATAAATATGCAATTTTGTTGCAAACTGCAAGTTGCATTGGCTTACGGGGAGGTTAATAAGCCATAAACTATAGATAATATTAATTGTTGATTAGGTGTGATATATTTATTATTCACTTCCTTGGTCCAATGCTTTTTGTAGCTAATATAATGTTCGTATAGTAACATTTAATCGAATTATTTGTCGCAAGAGTATAGGATACGTAATAACTTTAATATGTTTAATATTTTGACGTAGACCTGGTCTAATTTTGGCCAGGGTTCTCAGCAACTTGGAGAACTTGTAAAACTGAGGTGGTTCCTAATAGGTCAGCAAAATTTCCGCAGTTTTCCGTTGTGGCTAGTAAAACGAGAGTTTTGATTTTATCGATTAATTTTTCATTATATTTTTAATAGTGGAGTAGATGTCCAAAAGCTTTAAAAATTTTTTGGAAATTGTCACCTGCGCGTCAGAGAATGATCAATTCTTTAAATTGCTGAAGAACCTCTTTTATGGTTTTGCGCTACCAATGGTCTTTGAAGATTTTGCGTTTTACCAAACACTGCCACACAAAGAAAAGCAAACAAAAAGATTAACGAAAAATTGAATAAATGGTGTATTGCTTAATTTAAAATCAAGTTATAATGAAATGAACATGACACATCTTTTTTCATTTCATTTGTCTTCTATTGTGTTCAAAGAAAGTGTTGGTTATCCTACAGTCATCCACGTGGCACATGACCCTGCGAGGAATTCACTTCGTGTTTTCATTATTAATATTTTTCAGCTCATAAAATCGCTGCTTTAAATCTCAATTTTTTTTCTCTCCACTCTTTCTTCAACAAAGATCTGGTGAGATTCTTTACTTTGTTCTTTCCTCGTGCCAGCTTCTGCCGACAGTTCAATGTACGATAGTTGTGTTTACGTTAATCCAAAATTTTTGATAGTTTTGAGACTCGTATAAAAACTGATTTAATTACTTATTATCACTATCATCGCTTTTGATCACGTCTATACGTCAATAATAAATAGAGCTTTATCCGTTACTTTCGTAAAAAAACGAAATAACAGGTGTTATTGTTGTAATTAAAAAATAAATAAATCTGGGATCTTTGCATTGAGAATGTTAAAGGCCACTTTACAGAAAGGTCCATTAAATAAAACAATAAATTCGGTGCGCTGGTGTTAACAAAATGCAGGGCTATATTCATCTTGCTAGATCTTAACCTGGAAATAATAGGACATTAGATGTAAGCTATCGGCGTCTTGTGTTTTGAAGGACACGAAAAAATTGCAGTCATGTGTGTTACAGCTTAGTGACCTACATTTTAATCTTCCGGTCCCTGTCTGACAATATTTGGCGGTTCAAAATTTCCATACCAAATTACACTTTCCATATTATGCCAGTATCGGTTTATTTAGTATTAAGATCATGTATATTTATTTATGCTTTTTGTTTTAATTTGACATGTTTTTGTGTCGTGCTGTTCCTTTAATTTTTGTTGGCCAAAAATTAAATATGTTTTAAATGATCCAGGTCAGCAGTTTTCCAGAGCCCTTCGCTATTATTGAAGCTAGAATGTGCACTGCCGCAGGTATCGGAACTATCGAAAAAGTGGAAAAAGGTATCAGAGTACTTCGATTTCACTTGATAGCAACGTTTTACTGCAAAGTTTAAGATAATAACCGTATATGTGTATAATTTTACTAGTTGGTGCGGAAATTATTTTTTGTTGATATGTTTGCGAGAAAAAAAGTGTCTTGTTCAACGTCCGTTGTGGTGGGAAATATTTGCTTCATGTAAGTATTCATTCACGCAAATCTAGTTTTGCATTCGATTGGACATTTTTGCTTTTTCAAGGAACTTCGCTAATCGCTATCGTATTAACCCTGACTGCAGAAAAAAGAAGGGAAGGTGAAACAGCCATGGCGAAAGGTGGATTTAATAATTTTCAAGTTCATTCGAAACTTTTACACAGTATACAAATATGCTAATATACACTGCGCAGCAAAATTAACTCATATTTTGTAAAATAAGAAAATTCAATTGATGAAAATTTATAATGTTTGTCATTGGTTTAAAATGATGCCTCTGCGAAGAAGGCTGTGAAAACAAATTCTGATATATTTCCCAAAAAGTTGAATTGTTTACTTACGGTACTTTATTGTTTTAAAGCTAATTGGCCGAACGAGCGAGGGAATCTCTCGCCTGAAGTATGTGCTGCTGCAGATTTGTGGAAACAGACCTCGCACTAGTTCAAATGGTATTATTCCGCCTTGGTGTGACACAATCTGCGTTATCTAGTGCACTGGCACGATATGAAAAGACTGGCAGAAACTAAAGAAGACCATCGATTTATTACAGGCAAACAAGATAAAGTGCACAGAAGATTAGCAGAAAACATTGCTGAAAACAGGCTTCGTATAGGGCCGCATCTGATCCGCCACTAACCAACTATAGACGCTCGAAATCAACGTTTGCCCCCGGGCACGCCAAAATGGGTGAATGGGATACTGTTTTCTGACGAGTCGCGATTTTGCCTTTTAAGCGATGTTCGCTTCACCCTGGAGAGCGATACGCTCAATGTAACCTGGCGGAAACTGTCAGCTATGAAGGCGGCTCTGTTATGGTTTAAGGTTTGGAGGCTCGTACGGACTTCATTTATTAGGGAAAAAAATGTTATTGATACACGATAATGCACGCCTCTACGTAGCTGGAGTAATGTCATTAAACCTAACTGAAATTTGAGATCAAATTGAACCAGACGAAATCAGAAATCTAAGTTCAAATATGCCAAGAGCAGGAATTAGAGCAAGAGGTGGCAATGCATATTATAAAATTTAGGTTTGTTAACAGATTTTTGTTATATCTCTAGTGCGCACGTAATAAAATGTTGAAAATAATAATTCTGTTTATATAGAAATTGATATCTCTAACTTAAAAATAATTTTCGATGTTTTTCCAAAATATGCGTTAAATTTGACGCGCAGTGTAATTAAATATTCTTTGGCGTGTACTTTCTTATCATTACCTTGGAGGCTCGTACGGACTTTGTTCTGATTCAAACCAAATCTGAAAAGTTAATATCGCATTTATATAATTACTCATTTTCTTCATTATAATTTATTTACAAGCAATTTGTTTAATAAACAACGAGGTAGTGTTCGACGAAACAGATCGACTACCTAGAGCCTGCCTGCCTGCCAAATATCATTCAACATAATTATGAAGGTGTGAACTTAATAGTTGAAAGTCAATCAAACATTATTTTGAAGTTATTTCACTCTTAGAATATTGAATCGTAGATTTTGAGTTTCCTTGGTCCTTTTGAGTTAGTACACAAGCGTTATAGTATCCTGACCGTCCGTCGGTCAAGTTTGTCGATGAAATATAAATGAAAATTAAATATCTGAAAATATCTATCAGTAATAACTTCAATTTAATTAAATTTAAGGTTTCTTTTCTCAATCTATTTTATATATAGATGATCACTTAATCATTTTTATGGTTTAAATTTAAACTAGTTATAGAAGAAAGTGAAGTTTATGAATATTTAGAGTATCTTGCAGTATGTTAAATGAAATGTCAAATTTATTTTATTTCTTTAGTGAATTTTAGAATTTTCTCAATTATTGTCCTAGAGATTCATTGTTTCAAATTGTCTATCTCATACGAAAATTCTGTTAATAGGTAAAACTAACAACTAACCAAATCTGCTCATTAACTCCAACTGAGATTCGCTTTACTGTAGAACTGTTACAATAAATGCTGATTTTTAGAACTATTTATTTATGAGATATATTTTGTTCATTGAGATATTGCACCTTTCTTATACTCGTGTATATGAATTTCGTTGAGCTTCTTCTGTTTCAGATTTGCTGGCGTGTGGTGTATTTTGGCACATTTTTTTTCTTTACATTTTGTAGTTACACTGTAGTTACATTGGTATTGTTTTTATTTACGATCATTTTAATGTCATTGAACAATAAACGTTTTCATTTAGCATTCTGTATTTTTATTGTTGGTTTTCATTTTAGTTTTAATATTTGTGTTTACTTATTAAAGCCTAGATAATAAGTAGCCCAATAATTGAAATGAATAAACTGTTAAAACTAAAACTTCATTATCCATCGAATTTTTCAGGGAAGTGTAGTTTGTTTCTAATTGAACATTTTATTCCCAGATAAAAGTTGCTGAAACAAGCACAGTAGATAAGCTGCTGATCCGAGTCTGTTCTTAATTCTCGTCTACTTGTTTTTCCGCTCCTATTAAAATTAGCTATAAACATTGAGTCGTTCTCATTTTCATGAATGCTTTTGAAGTCAACGCTCCAAAATAGATCATTGCAAGAGAATAATGGAAAACAATTGGGTTTATTTATTGTTAGCGATAAGTTCGCAAGTTTTTTCATATGTATGAATTTTAGAGTTCAGTATTGATGCAAAACATCGTTCGTTGGATAAAGTGACAACTTGACACTTGGTAAATTAATAAGCATTTATATGATACTATCACATTTACCAGTAGGTAAAGTTCTAGGACCAACTCTCTTGTATAACTTAATTAAATTAATAGTGATTCCGAACTATATATTGTTGTTCGTCTAGCAGATACTTAAGAGAAGTATCTGCGAATAGAACATTTTAAAGTTTTACATCCAAATTAAATTTCTGAGTAAAAGTGTCGCAGGTGCAGACAATCTCAAACTTTCTCAACGGTTTCGGCAGCGAGTGAGGGAAATGTCCGCTCTTACGAAGTATTAGCTCAACATCTGTTGGAAAATTGTCATCTTCAACCTTCGATAATATTGACTTTTCATTTAATGCCCTCCTTTTTACTTAGCGAAGAGAAAATATTAAGTTTAGCAGCCGAGATAATTAATCTGTTTGTCACCGATATAATCCCTGAGATAATTGTTTGAGTGGAAACTTGATTGCAGAGAAAAAGTATGATGAATACTACCACAAAGTGAAATTGTTTTACTGAGTGGAGCATATAAGGAAAATGAGGAATATGTTCAAACAAGTATGATTTCAATTTGTTTTCGTGGCGAAGGCAACTCGCGTAGAAAATCGCGGGTTTTAGTGGCAGCCTCAAATTAGCTAGGAATCTTTATGGCTTTAAGGATGTTACGTCGTTAGAATTTTGAGCAGGATAATGGAGGGTAGCTGGTAAGGATAGGGTTTGTTAACTGGTCTTAATACACAAAAATTGTTAAGGTAGTATTCTTTGCATAGAACTATAGGTGGCACCAACCAACCCTCGCGACGTATATTGGATATTTAAGTGGAGGATTATCTGTCACCATAACAACATAAAAATGTTACTTGATAAACGCCCCTTTAGTCATGAGTTTGATTTTGCAGAAGCAGAATGAGTGCTTAGTTTTAGATAAAACAAAATTTTAGCTTATTGATGTTAAATAAACGTTCTGAAACTTCGATCATTTATATTTTTATGTTGTTTTTATGTTGCGATGCTGTCGCTTCTTCAAACCACGCTAATAGCATCACCTTTCAGGTTTTGAATCTAAGATTCCCTGTAAATTGCATTTGTGTATTCGTATTGTATGGTCCTAAACTTTGTTCAGCGGTTTTCAAAAAATATTTTCCTTATCTTTGATTTGAAATTCAACTCATAAGAAACGGACTATTGTAAAACAAATTTGTAGATACTATTGCATTTCAAACGTGTGGACGTTTGGTGTTTTAAAAATAAGTATATCAAATTTAAGGCCTGGCATAAAATATCGCATAAATGAAATGTGAATTATTTATTATAAATACGAATCCATCGATAGCGTGTTCCAGATTGCGAAGCTACAAATATGTTATACAATATTTTATTATTTGTTAAATACTGCTATCGCACCGGTGTACTCCATTATTTCACACTAAACTAATTTCCTGAAGTTTATTTTTAACTATTTCATCGATTTGATTATTGAATTGATATGAAGCAAATGTTGCTTCCGAACTGTACCGTTACATGAAATTAATTGATTTAAAAAGTGTTTGTTTCCCGGCAACACGAGAGGGAATTCTTTTTATTTACCAATTTTGCGCGCTCGTAATTTAATTTAATTAAACGGTTAATAATTTTGGACAATACGTTCGTGGATTTAAACAGGTTGTTTTTCTGTTTTAATTAAACATGGTTTATTAAATACTAAATCATTTACGATCTAGTAATTTTAACATTTTTTCCGAGGCGCTGTTGTTTAATTTATACAAGGCCTCCAGAAATAATGTTTTGAGGTGATTTTAGATATTAAAAGTAATAAAAAAGTTCATATGAATAGGCGCCGAAAAATCGTCACTAAAGAGGCTGAAACTTGATAAAGAACCACTTGCATCATTTTCGGCAGTAATTTGAAAATTTATCGATTGGTTTCCACAATTTTTAAGAGGTTTTAGCTCATTTTGTGAGTGATTCGACGTTATTTCCGAACACGCTGTATATTTAACCTTTATATAAGCAATACAGATTTTTTACTGAAAAGTAAAGATGAAAGTACAGACAAAGAATGGTAAAAAAATGTACATTTCGTTTTAAATGAAATAGATTCACGGAGTTTTTGCTGCTTTATGTATTGTTTAACGATTCAATATTCTACAAATGTTTGGGTGTAATTGCTAAATCGCAAATTTTGCAACTTATTTAGATGTGGTCGACAATGGTGTACCTACGTATAAGTAAACTGAAGAAACCATTGTTGTGAGTTTTAATTAGTAAAAACGCAACAACTTAAACAACACCAACAATTTGAACACAGACAACAAAAGCGTTCGGTTTTGGCAAAATTTAGAGAAGCTGTACATTCATTTTCAGTCACGTAATCTGTACTGAAGCACTCTATAATACATTCGAAATTTAATATGAAAATGAATTCAAAGGAATGGCACAGCAAAATGCACACAGTCAAGCATCTGAGTGGCGTTAAGCTATAAGACAATAGCACCATTTTCCTTTACATCATCGCTTTCAGAATGGCATTGCGAAAATACGAGGTATATGATTTATGGTGAAGTGTGTGTGTGTGGAGGTATGTATATTTTAAGAGAAATGAATGGCCCGCTGAATATAGAAATTTGCGTTCATCATCCGTTTAATAGATCGACGATCTCGTAAATTGTTACTGGCTACATAGAAATTCTCAAAATAGTAAATTTTGATAATCTCTGGTGTCCCACTTTTAGATGAATGTAAACAATATGTGGTTTCTTAAGAGGTTGTTTTCATAAAATAATACACAGCGTGGTAAGGTAAACTTTCAAAAAATAAATACCTTAAGTGTTTCTAAGTTTTTTCTGATCACGGAAAACTCAAACCATGAGAAAATGGCTATTTTTCAAGATGTCAAATATCCGAGAAAAGTTGCGATTCTGGAAAGTCGAGTTAGCTATGTTAATAAACACTACAAAGTAACACAAAAAATAACTGTTGAAAAGTTCGTTACTGATTTGAAATCAGAGGGGCCACCTCGTCAGATACATTAAAATCCTGAACGGAAAGTTTTGATATAGGAATTTAGACGATACGTAAGAGCTTGAAAATACGAACTAAAGTCATTTAAGATATGACTAGAATCAATGTTTTATGAGAATACGTCGCTGGCAAGGCGCTATTTTTTGCAGGGCTTAGTTACCTCATCAAGGGGGAACTTACTGAGATATGGTCATTGTATGCATTGTATAGCACGGAGCAGCAGAATTACATAAAACGACTATACATACTAGGATAGATTGGCGCTTGTGAGTACCATAGCGTAAATGTTCAGTAGTGTCCTTTTGAAGAGATCATCAAATATAAATAAAGCGGCATTGAAATGAATGAAGATGAAGTTATGTGAGACTGTGAACGAATTAAAAACAGAAGGGACAAAAAATTGAACTGGAATTTATTTGCATGGAATAACAAACGTATTATTTAGTAAAATAATTAGTATTTTGGTATTTTTTGCCTACTGATTGAGTTGTCATAAAATTCCAAAAAGAATTTTTAAAATTCCCAAAAAAAAAATGAAAATATTGTGTTAATATACATTGTTTTTTCGTTGATGTAGTTTATAGACTAAATTGCAAAATATACAAAACATTGAGATGTATGTCTCGTTCTCTTTTCTAGTGTTTTATTTAATGATGAAATCAGGTCTACGCTGAGTAGAGATTGTATTAGAAACCTACCAAATTTTGATCGTCTTCTAGAATTCGGTTATTTGTGATGAATGATAAAAAAAAATATATATATATATATATATATATATATATATATATATATATATATATATATATATATATATATATATATATATATATATATATATATATATATATATATATATATATATATATATATATATATATATATATATATATATATATATATATATATATATATGTAAGTATATAAGTATAGAATAGATTTCTATAACTTTTTACGTAGAATGAAGTGACATGCTTGAAAAAAACGAATGTTTTTACTTTCAAAATAACATCAAAACCTACGTTTTCTAAAATGGGATAGCCAATATTTGTCAAAAAATTGTAATTTTTCGTGCGATTGCAACCATAGCCGTTTTTTGTGAAATATCTAAAACACCAACATTGTTTTCAGTTGGCCATTAATTGATTTCTAATTCAATCCTCTCCTCTCATGACAAAAAAAAATGCAAAAGTCTTTTTTTTTAAATAGTAATACTATTTTATTGTTCTATCAGTTTTTGTTTTTAGGATAGAAAATAAAAAATATATATATTTTCGCCAAAAAACAAAACATCTTTAGTTCATATATATACCGAACTGCAAAGGGTGTCTAAAAATTAAACACGCTGCTTAATGGGGGAGATACGTCGTAAAACCATCAAAAGTGGTTTAGGTAAATATTTTGAAATAATACTCCTACTAAATACTACTAAATATATGTACAATTGCCCATATATACATGCACATTTTGGAAGATAACCAAATAATCTGTAAATAATTCTACTAAGATTATA